AAAAAAAAAAAAAAAAAAAAAACCTTAAGAAAATGCATCAGAGTATTTTGAAACATCTCCTCGGTCTTCAGAGATTGGAGATGTGCATAGACGTTACTCCTTTTGTCCCTCCCCAGAGACTCTCAGTTTAAAGCCCCCAGTACTGCCAGCTCGGGTCCTAAGAAGCACCACAGGGTCCTCAGCTCCCACAGGAAATTTCAGTCTTACATTGTACTACCCCCGTGAACTCTGGTCATTTTTCTACCCCATCTAAGAAACATGTTGCACCATTGAATACTTTTTTGTTAATTTTTAATACACGTTTTACAAAGACAAAATACAACTTAACTCACATCAAGAGACGGCAGGACTCACAACTTGATGACCCTTATTTTCCTTCTCCAGCTTCCCTCTGAACCTCTTCCCACCTCTCAGCTGCTTCACCGTCACATCCGCAGAAGACAGCCACACAGTGTCAGCAGGTTGAAAATGAGGCTGGTGGGAGAAAACAGACCAAGGCCATTAAATGCTGGCCAGTTCTTGGCAGAAAGCACCACAGTACCACTTCATGTGTGTTCTGTGTTGAGGCCATGGGTGTTGACCCACAAGAGAGACTCAGATCCTTTCCTCTCTGTGGGTCTCTCGGGAAGGGAATATGGATCCACTTAAGTGGACTTGGGCCAACTCTTCTTCTCTGGAGAAAAGTATAATTGAACAGGGTTAAACTATGAGGAATGTGTCATTAGGTGACTTTGCTGTGAACATTAGTGTACTGACATTGACTAAGTTGACTATGAGGTTACTAGGGGATATAATCTGATGGGACCACCCTCACACACACTCTGGAATTGACGTCCTTACAGGATATGGTTGCACTGCCACACAGCATGGTGATTCCATGGCTCCCAATTCCTCCCTAAATGGAGGAACAATTAATGTACCAACCATACCCATCCTGACAGTGCAAGGAGAGTCCATCTTTGCCTCTTTCTTGGATATGGGGTCAGAGCCTTCCAGATTCCCACAGCAAAGCACATCACACAGGGGTTTGTCATCTTGGCCATATCCTGCAAGCTGTTCTTTTGTGCCATCTTGGGGCTCCAGCTGTGCTGCTGCTCTGTGAGGAATTTCACCAGGACACATGAACCCACCAGTGAGTTGTGGACCTGACATCTTCCAAAGCATCATATTGTCCCCCTGGTACATATCTTTACTAGACAGTCGCATGAGACGCATAGGTCTCTGAGTATATTTCTTTTGGGAGAAATACTTTAAACACATGAGCAAGTCCAGAGATAAATACACCTCCATGGCTCATCAAATCATTATCTTTTGCCACATTTGTTTCAGGGCTTCAAAAAAATCCATAAAACATTACAGACACGGCTGAAGGCCTCTTTGGTGTCCTTCACATCCTTCTCAGAGATGTAGTAACCTTGAAATTAGTGTGTAAAAATCTCAAAGATTTTTTTTCAGTTTGTTCTAAAGTATCTATAGATAACATATAATATTGTTTTACAAGTTTAAAATTGTACAAAATCTATTCTGCTGTGTAGATCCTTCAAGACTAGTTTTTGCCGTTCACCACTGCTTTTAGATTTATCCATATAGACACATGTTCTCTAACTCATTTACTGTGTAATAATTCCTCATATGCATTTTTTTGTACCAGGGATTGCACTAAGGACCTTGCATTTACGAGTCAGGTGGCACCACCACTGAGCTAAATCCCTAGGCCCTAGAAGTCCCTCATATAAAAGATGTCCCCATCAGCTTATTTCCTATGGCTTCAGCTCTTCATGACTGCAGAAGTGGTGCAGTGAACACTTGTGCCGTGGGAGTTTCACTAGCTTGGACTCCTTCTCTCCAAAGCGGTGTCCACACCTAAGCACCTGTCAGCAGGGGCCAAGTTCCCAGTGTTTGGCATTTATGTCAACACTTGGTGTTGGCAGACAAACACTTCGACCCATTTGGTGTACTAGAAGTTTTGTGGTTGGTGTTAAGTGTCCCAGTGGCTGGAATTCAACTGTGACAGTGTTTCTGGATGAGATGTGCATTTAAATTCGGGTCTTCAAGCAGATCACGTGGTGAGCCTCACGCAGTTGTTTGAAGGCGTAAGTACAATAAAGGCTAACCTTGTCAAGCAGCCAGAAATTCTCCAGCAAGCTGCTCTTCGCATTTTCTTGGCAACACTGACCTTCCTGGGAGCCTCCAGCCTGATGTCCTTTGAACCTGAATGGCAGTATCAGCTTCTCCTGGGCTCTGTTGCCTGCTGGTCTTGATATTGCACTCGGCAGCTTCCATCTATGAGTCAATTCTCATTCTTCTTATTTCTTTTGTTTCATTGCCTGCAGTGTGGCTTCTGGGACATTGGTGAATAGAAATATTGATAATGGATATTTTTGACTCATTGTAGATATTGGTGAGCATGCTTCTGTGGCTTTCCCATAATTATAATGCTTACTGAACATTTCCGATAGGTATCTTATCACACTAAGGAAAGCCCTTGTAATTCCTACTTTGAACACTCAGCTTATCTCCTTTAAATCTCTCCTTTTAACCTCTCATGTTCTTAAAGTCAGTTCATTGAAGGCTACAAATTTACCTCCAATATTCTATTAGTTGCAATTCAGTTTTGATACATAATGCTTTATTATGTCTATTTCAAATATAGTCCACCTGTGCTTCCCTCTTCAACCTGTAATTTAGGAGTGGATGTTTGAGTTGTCAAACATATGAGTGTGGGACAACATTTTAATTATTGATCTCTGCTTTAATTGGGTTGTGCTTAAAGAATATAATTTTCTCTGTGGCCTAGGATGTGATCAAATTTTAAATGATCAGTGTTATCTCCAAAGAAAATGAAGACTACTTTTGGCTGCAGTTTTACACACACATACACACACACAGAGACATACACACATATCCAATAGATAATGCTTGCTGCTTTTGTTTCCCAAATATTTTTATACGCTAATGTTTTTAGTTGTTTATCAATTTTTGATGAACTTCGATGGGTCCAAGTCTTGGGACTTGTTATTACTATGAGGCGCACACGTGTAGGTGCATAAACATTTAGAACTGTGATAGTTTCCAAGTGGATTGCTGCTTTGCTTGTTACCTGGCTTCCCTCCTGTTGGAGTTGGCCTGTAATTGCTAACATTTGCATAGTGTATGTATCTTTTCCCATCTTGTTCTTGTCAGCCTTCCTATGTGCTTTTATCTCACACGTATCTTCCTTTAAAATAGTATCTGAGCTGGATTTTTTAGAAATAGAATCTGATCATTTCTCTCTTGGGGCAGATGAGATTCTGTCTGTTTACATTTGCTGTAATTACTATGTGTCAATATATTATTATTTTGGTAATACATGCCTTGTTTTAATTTTTTCCTTCTTTTCTCCATTTCTGTTACTTTGTTACCTAATGGGTAATAGAAGTTGCCTTCCAGGGTTCATGTGGCTCCTGTGATCACAGAGTGCCTTGCTTGGAGTGCCCTGTGCAGTGGATACTGAGCCACAAACACCTAGGATCCATTTCTTGGATAGTGATGCTAACTTGAGACCCAGCGGGGTACTGTAATTCTTTTCCCAAAGTCCATTTGTTACTTGGCATTGCCAAGCACCTACTCTGTGTCTGCTGCTGTTGGGATCACGTGAGGGGCTGAGCTGAGGACCCTAGTCTTTGGCCAGAGGCTCCACACCCAGTGGGAAGGTTACCTACTCATGGGGACAACTCCCTTACCTTGTTAAGAACTGTTGTCCAAGTGTTCCAAAATGTTTAAAAAAGTCTGGCATTGGTGGGGTCCCAGTGTTGCTTTCAGACAATTAGGTGACACTGACTGGCAGCTGTCTTTTAGTGTGGGTCCATGATCCATTTTACCATATCTTCACCTGCGCAAGTCTGGGGTGGGACAGGTAAAGCCCTAAAAATAAAATTTAAGGAGGCACTGATTTTCAGGTGTCAGCCCTGTATTTGCAGGGCTCTGAGAATGAGTGATTTCTTAAAACCTGACCCTAGTTCCCTGGCTGGCCTGGCCCGGGTCCCCAGCTTTCCCTACTCAACAGTGAAGCCACGTGCACATCGTCACATCAAGCTTGCGGTGTTGTTTTGCGAGTTAAGAAGTTAAACTTCCTGGTAAGCTGGTCTCCATTAAAACTGAGTAAACACATGAAACTAAAAGTCCCGGGTTTTACCCGGGCGGCTCGCCTGTTCTTACCCCCTCCCCCGCCGCCCCCGCCTAAGGACTAGGAGAACTCAGGGTGTTCAGCCACACTACTAAGGGCCTTGAATGCCATGGTCAAGTGCCCACAAAGGGAAAGAAATGTCTTTTAGAAAAATAACCAGCTTCTACAGTCTTAAGAGGGTCCTGCAAAGGGCCGGCATAGGGAGAGTGGTCGGATCCAGGCCCTTCAGACTTGGGAGCAGCTAGATCTGAGGGGCTCTATACAGGGTTGGATGGGGGCGGGCGCAAAACTTCCCAGGTGGTTCTGTCCAGGTCCCCTGGCTGCGGTGAGGCCTTAAACATGGCGGGAGTGGAAGAAAGCGGCCATTTTCTTTGAAAAGCCAATGAGAAGTCAGATGTCCGGTACACTGGAGTAACAAGGGGCAGGGCCCGGGAGCCCCTCCTCTCTACCCTCCCTGTGGCCTCCAACCCTCCTCCCCAGGAGCCCCCCTTGCTCAAGTCTGTGTCTCCCAGCCCAGCATGAAATGTCCTCCAGCCAGGTCTCCTTATTGTTATCAGGCTGAAAGGGAGGCTGTTATTCGGCAGCACAGATAAAAGTTAATCACAGATTTGACTGCCCAGAAAATATTGATGACTTCATCTACCTGAGCGCTCCCCGGGGAAGTGTGCAGGGCTCGGAGCTGCCGGACCAGTTCAGCCAGTTCTTGGTCTTCACAACCAAGCCCGATTTAAACAAAGGCCTGGGCCCATGAATAGAGAGCATTCAAAGGCCAGGCTGAGTCACCCTGCAGCCCTACTGCGCGCCCTGCTTCTTGTCTAGACATGGGCGGGACAAGGGTTCTGTTTACTTTCGGGGCAGCCTGTTCACCGCTGCCCGCCCTCTCTCTCTAATTACAACCCTTATCTGGCTCACATCACCCCACACATCACCCCGAGCTCTCAAACAGAACCCCAGGCTTAAAGGAGCAGAACAGTTAAAATTCAAGTGCCTGGGCTCAGTGCCTGGTGATTTCTCAATTCTAACCTTCTGAGTTTGACACTAGGGAACTTGGGGTAACACGAACATGGGATAAAATTCAAACTATGTCTGAAATAAAAACTGAAGGTATTATTGTTAGCTCCAAAGTTGAAGTCAGGGTTTGCAAGGGAACAGATTTAATACAGGACACATAATTTACAGGATTATTTTACAATATTCACCCCAAGTCAAATGCAGAGGAGAGCAAGAGATCTGTTCACATCAGAGACTAATAATCCAGAATCCCACAGCAATGTCTCTCGTAAATCCAGCTCAAGGCCTAGAGCACAAG